AAAAAATAAAAGAATATAAGAAAAAAAAAAAATCAAGTGGCGGAGAGAAGAGTGAAGAGGGAAAGATTTTTATATTTTGGTGTCCCATTTGATACAAGCTGGTTCTAAAAATTGCAGATAAATAAACATAGAAATCCCTTAGACAGGATTGCAAGTCCGCCGAGGTCTCCACCTCTATGTGCAGCCTCATTATCCAGCACAGGGCCTGGCAGCCTTGCCTGAGTACCACGGTGCCTGGCGCCTGCAGGGACACCTCGTCCTGCTCAGTGCCCCAGTAGTACCGCTCCTGTAGTTCCCCAACATGGTTCCTCCTTAGAACCAGGAAACCGCCCAGTGAGTACGTGTAACACGTCAAGGTTATGTGGCTAGAGAAGCCGACCGTAGAGAAAAAATTTGCCAAGAATTATTTCCGTTAGAATGACTGTAAACATCAAACACATTCTACATCTCCGTTACCTACGTATTTTATTCCAGTAATTCTCTCCCCATACATTTAAATAACTTTTAACACATCCTACACACATAAGAAGTAATTCCTTTCTTAAAAACATGGACCCTGGGCTAGGAAGGAGAATGTCAAGTTCACTCTGTGAACCAAAAGCAATGCGGATCCGCCCCTCTGTAGCCATGGCCATGCCCAGGGGCTCAGTGGAGACGGAAAGAAGAGACGCGGCTGCAGGCTGGCTAAGGGCTTGCTCTTCCTTGGTCTTCATTTTCATTCCAGAGAAGGAACACGTGATCCGCTCACTGCTTTCTTCGTGGGATCTTTCCGGCAAGAACCACTCGATGTCAGGAATCACCAGGGATCTTTCCCTGCAAAGTCACCAAAATGACCAGCTGCTAAATACGGCAACTTACAGTCAGACGTGCCTCCTATGAACGAGCACGGAAAGGCAGAGAGGCGCCTGCGGCCGTGAGTAAGTCAGGCCTCATGGGCTGCCTGTTGCCTGACTCACAGCTGCCCGGGGAACACGCTGGGGATGTGGGAGCCTTGCCGGTGAACCAGCGCGCAG